TGAAAATATACACATGTGATAAAAGCTCTACCACTGGCCTGAATGTCAGGATTTTACCTCCTTCTGTCAAGAAACTTAAAAAACTAGTTTCAAGCAAAATGAAAAGATCACAAACACAGAACAGGAGATGTCCAACAGCTTTTCCCTTTCAGGAGGGGCAGCAGTTGTTCTGAAGAATCAGACCAAATAGATCATATASATCACTGGGGCTGTCTGCCTGAATTATCATCAGCTGAATGATAAAGCTGCAGGCAAGAAACACATTTTTTCTATCTATAATTCTTCTTCTCTTGTACTCTATTCATACTGCATGAAAACAATACCCAATATATGTATTGGCCACGCTGGAGAAAAATGCAGCCTGAGTGGCTACAGTAGTACCAGGTCAAAACCCAATGTAAGAGGTTGAAAACTTGACACCTCATTACAGATCACAAAGAGAAACAGAAGGCAGCTAATAATGATATACAGGGAGGGTAGCAGGAGGTACACAGGGAGTGTAACACACTAATTTGGAGATAGCTATCCATGTAAAGACCATAATGTTGAGCTTGGATTCCTCTCAAAGTYTATATTTTGCATATTTTGTAAAGCATCATATTTCCTAAGCACCTGCAGCTTCTCAGCATCCTTAAACACATATTCCAGTCACYCTTGCTGTATTAATCCAAAAGCCTCTAGCCAGGTGGAGAAGCAAAATAAAATAGGGAATAGGACACAGAATATTTCTGGGGGGGGAAAAAAAAAAAACCCACATATAAAAACCCATAAGTCCTAAAGGATAAAATCAGTTCTAGTGATATTTTTCACATGCCCAAATTTTGTAGAGTTCCAAATCCGAACAGCCAAACGATTATTCCAGTGCACACACATTTGGGTCCTGCCACTATTGTCWCTACTGGTAGACTCTGGCAAATGTAGTATATGGCAGGGYTCTAATCCATTATGGATTTTACCAYGGGGGGTGTGGCTGTRTGTGTGGGAAACAAAAACCAAAACAAACCTGTTCCAATCATTAGAGTTTGACTGTGTTTGGAAGGTTGGAAAAATTGTCCATTCTCTTTCAGTTTCATAAGCAACTGCATATCTCAAGGCCTAGGAGCTCAAGATGATTTTCTACCATGGTATATGTGAAAAGGCTAAAAGTAAAAATTGTGAGAATAGCAGAGTTTTTCAGGTATAGCTGTGCTAATTGGAATGGTAGGTGATTTTAGCAGGTTGGATAAAAGCATATGATCAGACTGAAATTCAGGTACGYCTCAGGTGCACTTGCAAGTGCAAATAAAAACGAATCCAAAATCTAAGTAGGTCAGTATCATTGCAAGCTGTTTGGAATTCATTAGTATTTTCTGCCTGGGATATATTCTAAATACTTCTGAATAAAATATATTAGAGACTATTTGAAAGTGCACCCAATCATATACTACAGACTCCTCAAAGAGCTGTTAGCACCTTCAGCAAACAGCCAGTTCAGTTTCTGCTGACTTCAGTTTTACAGAAGGAAAGTAAGGAGGCTTCATCTCCCAAAATGTCAGGTTTTTGAYGCTGTCTTTAGTGGGAATCCTATTTATGACTCTCCAGTTACAAAATCAGCTTAGGTCAATACRTATGTTATAGAATAAATACAGTTCTTAGCCATTCTGGTGACAAAGATGCTGAGCCTGAATCTCTTTYCCATTTGAGCCACAGAAATGGAAGGAAGGGATGTCTTTATTTTCTGCTGGACCTCTGCAGTCCTAGGTTCTTAGGGGATGTATCCTGGCAGGAAAATCAGAAGGCTCTGCACAGCGTGCAGCAGAATAGTGTCAGTGGGATCCCAGTGAATCCCAATCACAATTGGAATCCCAATTCCTGAACAAAAATTACTTCCATTTAAGCAGGACTTTAAAAAAATGCATTATTTCTTCCTTTCCTTTCTAAGGCCAGGCTGTATTTTGGCTGTAATCTGTAGACTGCAAAGAGCTGTTATCTCCTATTTCAAAATAGATAAAACAAAACAAACTCCTATTATACAGGATTTAAAAAATGAGATAAGAAAAAAGTAAGCATCTGCTGGCCTGAACACCCCAAATCTCTTGAAAAAAAGCACTGTGACAAGGAGTAAGATGGTAGGAGAAGGTAGTGCAAAACCAGGAAGAGTATGCAAGCAGAAGGCACAAGCAAAACTATACAGCAAGGATGCCAACACCTCCACCAGGCTCACAGGAACTACAGGGAAGTTCCAGATTTTGGCTCATTTTATACTGTTTTCATTTTCATATTGAACTGGGTGAGTACAGATAGYGCTGAGTTAATACTGCCACTCTTGCATTAAATAGTTGCAACAGAGTTTTATACTGCCAATACTTAATACTGGAGTGGTGCTGGGAGAAAGAAAAACCGAAAGTTTTGACAAAATATTTTAAATAWTATGTAGAATTTTTTAGGCAACAAGAGGAAGGGGAGAAATTTGGTTCAGGGGAAAAATAATTTATTGGGTCCTTATGGCAATGTCTTTAMATTTCAGAGTTAACAATTTACTGCAATGATCACAAAAGATTCCCCCTCTCCTTCTCTTTGGTAGTTATCAGCTAGAAAGACATTTCCATGTCAGTTAACACTGAAGTTCATCCCTCTAAACTGATCAGATCTAGGTAGTACTTTTTTTTTTTTTTAAGATTAACATCTCAGAGCACATCCCTCCAATACAATTAATTCCATCACCACAGACCTATAATTGATGGGTCCCTACATTAAGAGTCTTGAAGTCTTTTCACTTTCACGGAGTGAAAACAGAAGAAGGATTAAACTGTTACTGAAAAAAAGGCATGCTAGAACATCTGCTGTATGTACTGAGCAACGCTCCAAACTGTCTCCAAAGTCTAACATATGCTCCTTGTCTTGCAGCATGCTTGTTCAAGATTTAGATCATGACACAGTAACGGCAAATAAACCATGTTATCCTTCAGTTATAAACAACTTTTTTTTTTTTTTCTCCTGAGCATGTTCCTCTACAGTAAAATGTTTTTTGACCTTTCATCTGATTGTTATCAGTACTGCATATCCTCCYCTACTTCAAATTGTTTTACAGCAGTCATGTAGGGGCTGCTACAGTGCTGACCAACTTTAAAATTTTAACTTCAATATTTAAATATTTAGCAAGATGAGGAAAAGAAATGGTATGATCCTAGATATGTCCATAGTACAAAGACAAACAAGAGGCTAAAGATTGTACTAAAATATGGACTTGAACATACCAAAAGAGGTCTTTCCCACTGTCAGGATGAAGTACAGTAGTGTAACAATGAATCACAGATACAATTTCTGTGAACTTTTCTGGATCCAGATAAGATGCACGTGTATCTCCATATAATTCATTAACACAATGCCAATCTTTGCTTTTGTTGGCAAGAAAATAAATAAGAGGACCACATAGCTATTTGCAACCTTCCTACCTTCTTCATGTTCCAGAGAAAGAATATTCCTTTCTTGACCTAAAATTGGCATTCGGTTTTATTTTAAAGAAAATATCCCTGAACTGTTTGTCCCTTAAGAGATAAATCAATCTCTCAATGAGAAAACTTGTCTCATTATCTTTCTGTATATGATTTTTATCTACTATATGTAAACAGGCCTTCTTCAGCTATTCAAACTACTTCTAAATATTTATTACAATTAAGCAAACATACACCAAACTAATGATAATGAAACAAATTGCAGACATGAGAAGTTAAGTGAACCAGGAAAATTCTGGCTAACAGGATTTTTGCCAAGGACTTCACAAAAAGCTTATCCGCTCTATTTCCTTGAATTCTTGTCTTATAATAAATTATTTTTTTCTAGTCTCACATGGCAAAACAAAATAAACTAGACTAACCCAGACTGATGTATAAGGTGCTACATTACAGTAATACATTTGCCATCACTAGAAGGTACTAGAGCTGTGACTCTGCATGAATGTTTTGTTGGGCATTTATTCTCACAATATTCTAAAAAAATAAACCACTCACTTCACAATCTCTGAGCACTTGCTACATTACAAAGTACTATGCATATGTTGACTGACRGATTGCTTTAATGTTTGTTCAGATTCTCTCTTGGTTCAAGTTCCACATGGATGGATCTCAGAAGTGCAATRAAGTATTTTAAAATATAAACTGAATATACACACAAAATTGAAATACCTGGGGAAAAAAAAAAGTGATTAGAGATTATGTTTAAAATTAAAAAAAAAAAAAACACCTTGGTAAAGTAAAGAAGAGGATTACGCCTGTATCTGAAGTCAAGAAACAACACTTAATCTATTAGCTAAGGACTGCTTTACTTGGCAACAACTTCAAATGCACTTTGCAATGAAAAAAAATAGGTAATACTTTGGTGAAAATAAATACTTTTAACAGTACTCCAATTTTCTTTTTAGYGCTCAATAGATTTTGAGATTTATATATGTGGGGGCCTTCCCATCTCTGGACAACAGTTTATTTCTGCAACATAAAATTATTACCCATAGGTTATCAAATTATGAATAAATGCACCTTTAAAAATCCAACAACAAAGGTGATGTGTGTCACAGCATAAAAACTCATAATGCCTCTTTAAAGTGTCAGATTCTTCTTTATTAGTAAATACCTCTATTATGTTTRAAGCAGTTTCCTTCCAACTATTTATTCACATTGTATTATTCATTCTAATTCCTATGGTCTTGTTTGTAAAAACAAATGAGATATCAATTTATTTTAAAAGMCTTATCAAGGAGCATCTCTATAAATGAAGTAATGTACAATGATACTAAGATAAATATTTGTGTTTTGAGACAATTGACTGTTTTTCTACAGGAATTTAATTTCTATGGGAATTAAAGTATGCACTTGAGAAAACTCAACTTTTTATGGAGAAAAACACAGCAGCAGTATTTGGACAGGCTGCCAAAACTATGCTATATTTAGCATGGAGCAAAAAGAAYAAATCCAACATCCAGCACACACAGTTTCTTAATATTATTATTATATTTATTCCTCATTTCTACTTAGCAAATATCAGATTATAGATACATTTATGAAACAACTTGTCCCAAAGAAGTTGCCCACATGAAAAGTCTAGTACATCCCTATGTAGGCATAATTTTWAAATAATTWTTTAAACCACAGYTTCACTTGGGGACCTCGCACAACAYATGTACATCCTTGGTGGCCAGACAAACATGAGTTAATGGCAGCAGCCAGGTTTTTGGAAATCAAGTCGTATTTCTCTTGCTCATTGTGTACTGTCATGGAAACAAATTATTTTTGTAGATTCATCCACTACAGTCCAAATGTTAGTTTACTAGTTAAATTAATATCCTGATGAGTAGACAAATAAATATCCTGAAGCAGACTCTTTTTTTCCCTCATTTTTTTTAATCTCTTCCAGGAAAGAGCAGAAAGRAGAAGGCWCAAGAGACATGCATCACTTTCCMAGTTCCTTCTTCTAAGGGTTCAAATGTTGATGATATTTTAAAATGTGGCACTTGCAGTGCATTGTGAAAAGTAAAYAGCATGGCAAAATGAAATCAATATTTTGAGAAAACGTAACAGTGTTAACTCAAGCTCCGATAGTCAAGTGGAGCTTTTTAACCAGCTTTCTCATCCACGTGGAGACATTCACTGACACCATTACACCTCTGCTCTCTTCAGATAGTTTCTCTCTAGCCCCATGCTGTAATGTCAATATTTCTAGGACCTTAGAGAGAAGTTCTAAGCATTTTCAATTGTGCAGAGTTTTAATGATTTCTACTAAAAGTATATTACCTACATAGGATGTTTATCTCATGTGAATAGCCTAGATTTTCTTAGACTGTGGACAAACTCAATGTCAAGACTAAATGACATTGTTTAAGCAGCTTCCCATCTTTGTTTTTTCCTGCCTCTTAACTCCACACCCACATTTTGCTACTTCCAGTACTCGTGTGAGTCAAGCAGAATCAAAGAAACTAAGTAGAATAAAAAACTGAGGAAAGGGGAGGAACTAGGAAAGGTTATTTTACAGGACGATCAGTTTCACAGTTCACCTTCCAGCTGTGAAACCAACCATGCCAGCTGGCTGCAGCGAGGTCAGGATKGAAGAGGGGAGGCAAGGGGTGGCAGAGGCTGCCACATCAGGCAGTGCTGACACTAAGGAAGCCCTGGTACCTCTTGAAAATATCCCAGCAGCAGCCCACTTAATTTGATGAGGGACTATTATGATCATTTTCAATCTTTGATATATAATGTGTTCAGTAATTCCTCAGCAGGAGAACAGCACTCAGTTGACTCTTCCCCAAGCTGCATGGATTCTAYGAGAGGACAGGGCAGTAAAACTCTATTTCTGCTAGAAGGATAAACATTTTGAGCACAAATTGATAGCAGATTCATCCATTTAGAAAGGGCTGTTTTTACAGTCATTCTTTAGAAAGGAGCTTACTTTAAAAAAAAGACCCAAATATATATAAATACAACTGGTAAAAATAGAGCGACATCATATTTACATTTTTCAGTCATTCAAGGTCACGGACATTTYTTTCAACCACCTGCTAGTACAGTTCCCTCCCTGCCAAGACACTGCAGACAAAGCCTAAGTATTCCTAAAGTTAGAGAACCTAGGGYTTTTTAAAAGTCAACAGCTTCATTATGTTTACTGTCTTTTTGTTGTTGCTGCTGTGTAGATCTATATGTCTACTTCTCCTAGGCTGGAACAAAGAGTCAGTTTCATTTCATTGTAGCATTCCTCCAGATGTTTGCAAAAATTCAAAGAGAAGCAGTGAATTCTTAATTAGAACAACGTGCATATGCTGAACAAGACACCCTGATAGCATTAGCCTGATAAAACTGAAAAATCCTCAGAATTGTAACTTCCAATGAGCATAAACTACTGACAAGATCCCAAACACTCATTATTTCTTAATTTACCTCATAAAGGATCAACTACTTAACTCATGTCACAGCACCTTATTAGTCTATCTTGAGAGCGGTCTACCTGTTTCAGAACTGCCTGTTTTTGTTATTTTATTGTTTGCACTATCCAAATGTATTACAAACAAAACAGGGAACATTAATATGATGAAAAGAATGATGAGACACTGTCCACAGTCCTCATGTTCATAAAATGAAGAAGTTACAGCCAATCTGCGATTGAAGAGGGATGCATTATGAGATACAATCTAAGACACCAATTTTCTTTCAGCAAATGGATTTATTGACATAAYTGATTATAACCATGTACAGCATCTATGCATCTCCCATTGGAAGAATATCCAGTGATAGAGCTAACGTTAGTGTGATACACAGCTTTACTCAATAATCCCACTGCACTTCTARCAACAAACAGTGGTGTACTCCACAATCATAAATGGCCAAAAGCACCCAGGTGTCCAAAGGAACAGAAATTTAAAATCCTCGACAAAAAAAATGAAGCATGATACTGCATTCCCTCAATTTTTATTCCATTTAGCATTGTGTCTATAGCAGTGATGAATTTTAATCTATACACTAACAACCAAGTTTGGCCACTGATATTCATGAAAACTACAGTCTGTCAAAATGAAATCCCAAAGGACTTCTTGCTACTGACCCACAAAACAAGACTTTGATTTTTCCTTTTGCCATTTAAAGGATTAAGGCAAATGAGCACTACAYTGTCTCCCTCAGAACACAAAGTCTTTTCTCTCTATTCAGTCATTGAACTCCAATTGAAGGTACCAGTTACTATGGTATCTTTTGTAAACACTTGTTCATCTGAAAAATGAAAAAAAAAAGAAAAGAAAGAGGGAAAACCCCCAGATTGCTTACTTGAAATTATGGTAATAAACAACTCATAGCCATGAACACCTCGGGTCAGCAATGAATGCATGATATTGAGACAAATGTCTCCATAGTACATTAACACTTCCTTCAAGCCATTCAGTTCCACAAGAGTTCATCTGAGGTTGCACATTAAATTCAAAGGAGCAGAAGTTGTATCAATGGTCTCAACAATTTACCAAACTCCATCTAAAACATTTGCATTTAAAGTGCAATCCCAGTTTGGGCCTCTTTAATTAGCTCATTTGTAGACCACACAGAGAGAATTATTAATGTAAACTAAACCACCATATTTTGTATAACAGAACCACATTCTGTAAATATTTAGAAAAAGGTCTGAGAAGTAGAGAGCAACTGACCATAAAATGATCAGCATTGCTCTGAAACAAAAAGCAAAATCCTAATTTTAAAAAAAACCCACAACAACCAACCAAAACAACTCAAACATTATATGCTACTGCATTAAGGGTTTAACTCTAGCATTAMTCACTCAGCTACACAAAACACATAATCTAGATTAATACACAAAATGTTTTATTTCACAGTGAGGTACATAAAGCTTCTAACTTTAGTAGGCTAAGGCTAAGAGAAAATTGCCTGTTAGGATAAAGATTGTTTCACATTCCTGAAATATTCTGACCTATTATTGTTTCTGAAGTAAGGCACCAATGATTATTTATCCATCAAGAGTTCACTTCTGCAWCTACCCATTTAGAAATGAAGATGGATTATGTGACTGTCAGTGATCTGCTGACCATCATGGACCCAGACAACTACAGCACACATTAATGTGTACAAGTACCAAGCAGTATTTATTCAAAAACAATTTTAAAATAGCTCATTTGTAAACATTCTACCAAAACCTGTTAGTTTTTCTTAGTGGTGTCAGCAAYATATTCCTGTAGAAATAACCAGTTGCATTTCTTGTTTACAGAAAAGTATGAAAGCACACACATTCAGTTTGAGTGGAAATGGCMCAGCCTTCACACTATTCAGCAAAAAACCCTACATTTCCAGCCCTCCAAACAACTCCCTGGTTGCACAGAGTTCAATTAAAAGATGACACTCGATCCAAATTTTTCATCAGGAAGAGCTGGTGCCTTGGATGGATCTGTTCAAAGCTCCTTGCACAGGGCCAAGCTGCTCACTGTAATTTGTTCCCAACTTGCAGTCGGAGGAAACTACCTGTAAAATAGCACACTTAAATTAACAGCTCTGAGTTTGCTTAAGGGAGGCACTGGCTGCTGTTGGCAGTAGCTCCTGCCGTTTGCTCCTCATGGCAAGGCACAGTTRCCGCCCGTCAGGGTTTATCCTTGGGCTGGTGATGATTCCTGACAAAAAGGCGAGGTCCCAGCAGAGGTAACCCCGTGTCACAGGCAGCCTCAGCAAGGGCGGCTGAGCGCAGCCACTGTACCGCAGCTCTGCCCCTCGGAGGCCGCGACCCGGGCCCGCACCATCCGCTCACAGTCCGCAGGCCGCGGCTGCCGGGGCCTCGGCGGCCTCAGTCGCTGAAGCGCTGCAGCAGGTGCTCATCTCCATGCCGGCCGCTGCTGCTGTCCATGAAGCGCTCGCAGGGGAACTCGATCAGGTCGGCCTCGCTGAGGGCGCAGGCGGCGGCACCGCGGGGCGGCCGGTGGGACTGGAAKCCCGAGAAGTCGGCGGAGACTCCGGTGCCCATGGAGCGGAGCGGGCGGCGTGTGGAGTAGAGCTGCCGCACGTGGACCGGGGCCGCCTTGCGATGCCGACGCCCCAGCACCTTCTTGCGCAGCAGGCGGGCGGCCCAGGCGGCCAGAGCSGCCAGCAGCAGCAGCGCGTTCACCGCCAGCAGCACCAGCGTCAGCAGCTGCTGGTCGGGGCCGCGGGGCCCGCCCGCCGCCGCCGCGGTGCCGCCCTCGGGCAGGGTGACCAGCCCGGCGCAGTGGTCCCGCGGCGCCACCGGGCACACGCGGCCGCCCAGGACGCCCTCGACGCAGACGAGGTAGGGGGTGTCCGGGCGGAGCTCCTGCAGCGTGGCCGCCGGCTCCCCGCGCTCCGGCAGGTACACGAAGCGCTGGAACTTGACGGCGGCGCCGAAGCGGTCGAAGAGSAGGCGGAATCGCGCCGGCCCCAGCAGGCGGGGGCTGCGGTGCGGCCGCACGGCCCAGCGCACCGTCACCCAGCTGGAGCCCACCGCCTCCACCGACAGGTTGTGGAGGAACAGCTTGTTGAAGTCGCAAGGGTCGGACACCAGCGGCGGCACCCCGGCGGCACCGGCCCGTCGGGGCCACGCTGCTGCACTGGGCAGCGGTGCCGGCGTGGGGCTGGCGGCYATGGGCACCCCCATCATCAGGCGGGCGGTGGAGGCGGCCGGCGGTGGCCCCGGGGGCAGCCCCGCTGCGCTGTTGTTGCCACCGAGCCCCTCGGGGGATGGCGGGGAGGGAGAGGCACCATCGGGGCAKGGGCCGCCGTCCTGCGGCAGCGCCAGCTGGGCATCCTGCAGGTAGTCGAGGTACTTGCCGGCCAGGGCGGGTGGCAGGCGGCACTGCACGAAGACGGTGAGCAGGCGGCCCTGSGAGTGCCACGCCGCCAGCCAGCGCTTGAGGCCACGAAGGCGGCAGTCRCAGCTCCAGGCATTCCCCTCCAGCTCCAGGCGGTAGAGGGCCAGGCTGGAGGCGAAGAGCTCGCCGGGGAGCGTGGCCAGTGCGTTGTCCCGCAGGCTGACCTCCCGCAAGCGGCCGAGGCGGCTGAAGGCGGCCGGGTGCAGGGCGGTCAGTGCGTTGCGGCTCAGATCCAGTGCCTCCAGGCTGTCCAGCGGCTCCAGAAGGGTGACAGGTAGGTGGCTCAGCAGGTTCCCCTCCAGGCGCAGCTCCTTCAGTGAGCCCAGTCCCCTGAAAGCATCCGGGGCCAGGTGAGACAATCGGTTGTCACTGAGTGAGAGCTTTGCCAAGTTTGGCAGGTGCTGGAAGAGCCCCCCTGTCAGCTGCCGCAGGCTGTTGCTGGCCAGCAGCAGSGTGTGGAGGGAGCGCAGCGGCCCGAAGATGTCTGGGTGGCGAAGGGAGCTCTGCTGGTTCCCTGAGAGGTCSAGGAAACGCAACTTGGCCAGGCCAGTGAAGGCACCGCGACTCAGCCAGCGGATGCGGTTGGACTCCAGGTGCAGATAGAGTAAGTTTGGCAGCCCTGAGAAAGTGGAATCGCCCAGCGAGCCCAGCTCATTGCCATCCAGTCGCAGCTTGACAAGGCTGCCGAGGCCAGAGAAGGAGGCAGCGCTCAGGCGGCCGATCTCGTTGGCGTTCACGTAGAGGATGCGCAGCTTGGCCAGGGCGCTGAGCGTGCCAGGGGCCAGCGCTGGCAGCAGGTTGTTGCCCAAGTAAAGCTCCTCCAGCCGCTCCAGGCGCTCAAAGGCCTTGGGGTGCAGCGAGCGGATCCGGTTGTACTGCAGGTCCAGGCGCTGGAGCCCTGCCAGGCGGTGGAAGTCGAAGGCGGAGATGTTGGCGATGAAGTTGCCCCCGAGGCTGTAGGTGAGGATATCCTGCGGCTCGGCAGTCTTGGGCACGGAGCGCAGGCCCCGGTTGGTGCAGAGGAGGTGCTGGTGCTGCTGGCAGTCGCATGGCTCGGGGCAGATGGGCTCGGCCGCGGGCAGCAGCAGGAGGATGAGGGGGACGGAGCCCCASAGCACCCGCGGCAGCACCATCAGGCGGACCCGGCGCGGCGCCCCCATCCCGGGACGAGCCGAGGGCTGCTTACCCCGCCGGCTTTGTGTCTCTCCGGCATCCCCTCCGCCTCCTCCGCGGCTGCTAATGGGCCCCTCCTCTGCTCCGCGCCGGGCTGAGCTCCGCGCCGGGCAGGCAGGCGCGGCGGCGGCGGCTGCAGGTCGCGGTG